CCCGGCGACTCCTGCGGCCGGGGCGGAGCCGCCACCCCCGCCCTAGGCCAGGGACCCCCACCCCAGCGGCACGGCCCCGGCTCCCCGCAAGACCTCACCTGGTGCGTGTGCCGCGGCGCCCGCCCGAGACTCGCTGCCACCCCCCCCGCTCGCCTCGGTCGGCTTTAATGGGCCCAACAGCCTCCCCGCTTTCACTTCCGCCTCCCCCCCGACAACTTCCGGTCACGGGGCCCGCCCGCTGCCCCTGACGTCAGCACGCCGCCCGGCAGCCGGCGGAGTAAGGGGGGAAGGGGAGAGGTGGGCGCGCGTCACGTGACCGCGGGCTCCCGGCCGCCATCTTGGGTCGCCGAGGCCGCGGCCGAACCGCGCCCCGCACCGGCTTCGGGGCCCAGCGGCCTCCCCCGGGAACCGGGGGTTTACGCGGGGAGACGGGCCCGGCCGAGCGCGCCCATCGGGAGTCTAAGATGCTGCTCGTGGTACCACGCGGGCCGCCACGCCCGCCCGGGCGCAGAGAGCGCGGGTGGGAAGGGACCTGCCCGTTGTGCGGCCTGTCACCGCGCCAGAGCGGCAGACACTGACTACACCGGGCCTGTGCGGCTGCTGTCTGCGCGGCAGCGCTGCCGACAGCCGCCGGCCCGCCCTCGGAGGTCTGAGGAGAGAAGGAGAGGGCTAGAGAAATTTTCCCGCTTCATGCTTTCAGAAGTAAAGGATGGGAACACAAGGGCGCAAACCTGTTCTTTGGGGTCTTTTTATTTGCAGTGATCTAGAGTGAGGTAGTAGCAACAGCATTTGTAAGGAAAACAGAAAGTAAAATATGACAATGGAAGATATGTTCAGGTTAATTAATCAGGCAGTAACCAGTTCCAAGATCAATAATGCAGGCAAGTGAAACGGGACAATATAAACTCTCCTGCACCTTAATACATGGGAGGATAGCCGTCCTGGTGATACAAGAGAAATCCGTGTTTTCTACTCTGCGTATTGGTTCATCTGTGACTATTGTGGGTTTCATTAAGCTGTGAACTCGGGAAAGCAAAAACGAAGCAACCAAGGAAAAAACGTATTTTTAGAGTTAATGAAAGAGATAAAAGGAACTAAGCTACTTACAGCTACATTAAAAAGAAAATAGCTTCTGAGCAGTATACAGCAGACTGCTTTTAACTCTGAGAGACAGGGACTGATTTGGAGAGAGATCTCAGAACTGGAAGTCAGAAGACCTTTGCTCTTCCATCTGTCCTGAGATGAATCTGCCACATATCATTAGGCAAAGGCTTGACTCCTCTGTAGGGTAACGCAGTTTCCCTGCATGTCACCTGGAAACAGGAATGCTCACCTTGGAAAGATGCTGCAAAGTTTGATTCATTATGCTCACAAAGCAGTTTGAGATCAATAGTGTAAAGGTAGCTGTCGTGGTTGCGCAGCATAGCAAGTGTGTTGTTGAAGTCAGTTACCTGTCAGGCCTGGCCTGAATCCCTTCTGAGGAATATCTATCGCAGAGCACACAGGGTGTCCTTACAGTGTCCTACTTTAGAAAAATGAGACAACAGTGGCGTAGGGGCCTGAGCCTGATTTGGCATCTCTGTTGCCCAGAGAAGCTCCTGTGCTGCCTGCAGCAGGAACCACGTCTGCTCCAAAGGGCAGCCGAGTCCAAGCCCACTTCAGGTACTCACCGTCACACTCTCCTTCCTGTACGCCAGTGCCAGCTCTCGACTGAGCCTGCCCTGAGTCGCTTTAGCACTGAATCTGCTGATAACTAGCAATAAAAGCAGCACAGATACATTTTCTGCCAGCTTAGTGCACTGAACTGGCTTCATGCAAGGGAAGGAGGGGTGAGGCAGGACACAGCTGCCAGTCCTTGGGCTGGTTTAAGTTGTGGAAATGCAGACTAAGAGAAGGTGAACGGGAGCCAGGGCTGCTGGGCTCTTCTCATATGATGCCAGCCAATTCATTACCAGTTTTGTACCTTCATTCTTCCACCTACAGGAGTGTATCACTGTTACTAATCCATCTTACAAGAGACGGGAGCCTGTGATATCTAGTTGATTAGTGCTATTAGGGTGACACATTAGATGCAAAGAGCTGCAGAAGAACCTGACACCAGTTAAAACACAGACTGGACAAAAGAGGAAGAGCTCTGATTAGTGAAATGATGGAGAAAACCCTCCCAAACAGACATGGTTTCTTTGGATGGGGAAGGAAGTATCCTTTCGGCTCAGCCCCAGGACTGTGGGCCCTGGGCTTATCAGCAGCTGGTGGGGTAGAGCTCTGGCTTGCCCCAGTCCATTTCCTTTTAACAGGAGACCCACATGCTGAGCTGTTATGGGCAGACATTAATGGTGAGTTACAGAATGTTCCTCAGCTCTCTTTTCCTAAAACTTTCCTTTTTTCTTTCTTTTTATGCAATATGAAAAGCAATCAAAAACTGTGGGTGGAATTTCCTCCTTCCTTCTTTACCACAGAGCGATCCTGGCACCATCTGTTACGTACCTTTGTTACACAGAAGATAACCTCACACCAAGTTCCTGTGTCACTTGCTAGCTTTCTTGGCATGACCAAGAGCTGCGTCATGCAATAGTTGTTCGTGATGAGTTTCTGATTCTCTTTGGGAATGCAGCATTTTCTCAGACTGACAAGGCAAGATCCTGCCTGCCTTGAAGAACATACGAATCCTGTCACTGGGGAGGACCAATGTCAGCAGAGAGGTCCTTGCTATCCAGGCTGGACACCTGTCTTTTGGAACAGATGAGAGCTACATTCACAGTGGCAGAATGAAAATAGAAACACAGTGGTAAGAAAGTGGCCAATGGAAGTATTGAGCTGTGGCTCTTGCATTTTGCCTGGCCCTGGGGACACACACACACACATGCACACCTCTGCACCAGAATAAACGTGTGACCCAGGAGAAACCAGAGCGTGGTGCAGCAAGCAGTCCAGCACACTTAGTTTCAGTAGCCTGTAAAGAAAGCTGTATTCCTCCTTTGATACTTTCACAATATCAAAGCCCAATTAAAACCCATTAAAATGGATCAATTTGAAACCCAATGCCAATCGTTCCCAATCACTAACATTGCTTTGAAGAAATCCATTCTCTATCCTTGAGGGACCTTCACACAGGTGAGCAGATGTCTAAGGTTGTAGTGACAGACATTTACCAGTGCAGAAGCCTCAACCTATTTCATGCGCTCATCCCTCTAAACCAGGAGTAAGAATGTCTCCAGCTTTGATTTTCTTCCCTTTGTGACATCTAATCTCTATTTATTAATCTTCCTGATCCAATTAGAGACAATAAAACATTATAAGTCTTACACCATCTCTTTGCTTTTGTCCTTGGACAAAAAGGGACCCTCCCTTTTTCTTCTTAGTCCCTAAGATGGCAGAGTGAACAGGGATACAAAAACACCTGCTGGTTCCTGATTTTGGAATGGCCTGCAGAGAGGTCCAGGGAGGACATCACCTTAGCTGTAGTACCTACAAATCCTTGACATTAGCTGTGAACGTCTTGATATTCCCCACAGTGCCTAATGCATTCACCCTCTTCTGTGGACACACAGCTACCCCACCTCTGGCCATCTGTGACATTAAAAGCTTGGGGAGAGCCTGCTCGTTCCTCTGATACGTGTCCAGCATATTTCAGCTCTTTGGAGTCCTGCAGTCCCTCCTCCTCATCACTGGCCACAGCCCTGGGACCTTTCTTTGCCTCTGTGCCCAGAAAGATTTAGCATGAGCCCACAGTGGCTTTACTGCTCAATGAAAATTGACTGTCCAGAGATCCCTACACAAAGATGTCCTCTCTCAACTAGCTACGCAACACTTTCCTCTTGTCACCTTTAGCTTTCCAGACCAGCTTCCTCAAATTATCATTATAATGATCTAACTTACTAAAATAAAAAAAGGGGAACTACAATGCAGCAAATGCACAATATCTTGCTTTTGTACTCCGAGCTTTGTCATCCTTTGATTTATCCTGTCTAGAGCAGATTCACCCTGCTTCTGCTGGCATTTTGTTCATTAGAAATCTTATGCTATTGCATGACCACGTATACGTTTCCACTGGCAAGGGTACAGCGGTAGTCTTTTGCCTGCCCTCTTCTCTAATCCCTGCCTGCAGTACAAATACCACTCCGGTAATCTACTAATGCTTTCACCTTTGCAATCCTCAGCTGATTTCTAAGTCATACAGCAGCAACACATGAGAGCAAAAAGCTAGCTCTGGACAAGGCTTGATCACCAGATACCAACCATAGGAAGCAACTGCAGTCACGTTATCTCATGGCAGATCTCCAGTCCGAGCTTCTGCTGAGGTGCAGAGGACATTGCATATAGTGCAAGGGATTACCAGTGTCTGTACTCACTGATAAAATGCAGCTGCTGGAGGTTGAACATCTTAAAAAAACAAAGCACTGATAAAGGGTCTAAATGCAGCCATTGAAGCCTGAGCCCCACACGGTGGGTGGGGGCCGAGCTGCAGTGCTGCAGCGCCTGATTCTGCCACCTACCCTCACACCAGGCACGGCAGACATGAGCACATAAAAGAAATGGCTTTGGACTCATTTGACAGCTTCCCCCCTGCTCAGTAGCAAGAGCCACAAAACTACTGCAGAGCTGCGATCTCTTTGATACTGGGAGGTGGCAATGCTCGCACCTTCCCTTAGATGCCAGCTCACTCCCTGGGGTGTGAAGGTCAAATCTCCCCCTTGCTCTGCCTTTGAGTCAGCCTCCTACAGAGACTATGGACAACATGCTGAGCACAGGGGACGTCCCCTTAGACAATTGCCTATGCTGGCCCTGGCAAGAACGGCAGAAACAAGAGAAACAACCACATGCTGCTGGCCATGGTGTAAGATGGGCACCACACAGCTTTGCACTTACGCATTTGGCACCACCGTAGTTACCTGGAGCCTGGACTGGTGGAAGCCAAAGCCCATGGAAAGTTCAAGTGTCACAAAGCAAAGGGGTGTTTTGATGGTCCAGACTTTGGGCTTGGGGGCAGAGAGACGCCTACATCCTACTTAGGACTGTAATCCCAAGAGCTGTCACACAAATAGTGACAATCACCTGAGTCCCCTGCAGGACTCCCAGCTGGTCTCTCCAGCTACAGAGGTTCTCCAACAACACCAATACCTTCCCACTTTTACAGCCGGTGCTAAATACCAGCTAATTAATTTTTTACAGCTGCGTTGGAGGTATGCCGGGTAATTTCATATGATTGTTCTCAGTACTCAAGTGGAGAAGATGATCCAGGGAGTGAAGTAACTTCCCTGAGGCCAGAGTGAGTCAGTTACTTTGTCAGATCTGGGTCCTTCTAAACACGGACATTTCTGAAAGGTTTTTTAAACCATAGGAATGGTATAAAAATAGGTACAGAGAGAGGTGCACACAGCCAGCACAGAACTGCACAGGCCTTTAGAGAACTGGCCTTTCTTCAGGAATCAAGGTTTTGTTAGAGCAGCGTGTTATCAAAGCAGCAGGTTCTACAAGCTGTTACTTACCAAGCTCTGAAGCCTTCACAGTGAAGGTCTGGTGTGCCTGAAACCCCTCAGCTCATGACACTAGTGGCTTTGAAGCCATGGGGACAGGCAGGACAGGCCAATGGCTGGCAGTGCCTGGAATGCTCTGCAGGACCCACAGGTTGCGTGCCACCGCTCCTCTCTGCACAGGGCATTGTGCGATGGGGTGGACCAGCCACGTGAGCTCTGCAACCAGGCGTTTTGTGGCAAAGGTGGCCATGTCATGCTGTTGTTGTACCCAGAATGTGTCATGGGACAGGAGCCTGGTGCCACGTGACCACTGCGAGCAGGACACTTTATAGGACAAGTGACTCGCACGTTGCTCCTTCCTTAGCAGTGAGTCAGTGCCAAAAGGTGTCCCAAAGACGGCACTCCATGGGTAGGAACCAAATTTGCTGCATGCATGCTCTCCAGGATCTGCAGGTCCATCCTGGATGTGCAGGGCCAGGGCTTGTCTGCAGAGACCCAGGGAGCTCTTCTGGGACCTTCCTTGGAAAGGACACGGACATGTCCCACAGCACAATTCCCTCCTCAAACGGCAGCCACCTCTCTGCAAGCACTGGGTGCTGCATATTAGCTTCAGATCTATCTGCCTCAATTCTTTCAAGTCACAGATTTTCGTAATCCCCTCTTGTCTGCTCTAAAAGAAGTAAATTCCGTATCAATGGCAACCACGAGAAGCCTGTATAATTTTGAGTGCATGTTTTCGAAGAGGGTGACAAAGATACTCAGCCTTGAAGGATAAGGGTGTGTGGGCAGTGAGGTTTGCTTTGCTTTTATCTTGGACAACACTTTTCAATGCCTGGTGCCTCAGCAGCTACATTTTTGACCCCAGGGAGTTATGACTCACTGTTTGCAAATCCCTGAGCCACCAAATTGAAGGTATGCCCCGCAAAGCACAATTGCCTAAAACTGAAATGGTTATAGGTGGGTGTTAAAGCTTCAATTACTCTGTTCTAGCGCTCAGGGCTGGCTCCATATCCCTGCCTGAATTTCTGGCAAATAGAAAACAGCGCCTTTTACATTGTTTAGATGAATAGGATCTCTCTGGGTTTGCCTTCTTCAGTGAAGTCCTGAGAGCAATCAGGTTACAAAAAATGTGTTATCCCATCTACAGCAGCACAACGCCAGCCTGAGGAACACCTGCTCTGCCCAATCTGCACTCCTGCCCTCTGCCAAATTGCTTCAGACACCAGGGCCACCCCAACATCAGAGCCGGGGCTGGCCTGCTGGAGTACAGGGCAGAGGCTAAGGCTGCCTTTTAGCTGCTTTCTGGGTGACCTGTGTGGGGCTACGTGCTCCACTGCCTGCCATCCTTTCTGCTGCAGTGGATCAGTTTGCAGAGCAATACCTACGACTTGGGGAAAAACAATGCAAACACCGTATCAGGCATTTCTTAGCAGGCAGGTAGGAAAGCTGTGTGTGAGGAGCCTGAGACCCGCCAGCAAAGAAAGGAATAAGAAAGAACGATCTTTTATCCTCAAGTTTCTTTATTTCCTCAATCATCAGTGTTTTTCTTATCAGGAAAGACTGATTGCATTCACTGCTGTAGACCAATGCTGTTCACAGAGGGTTAATGCTCCCTCTTTTTGGGTCACACATCAAACAGCCTGGGTGGGAAGGAATCACCATCAGCCATCTGGCAGGGCACGATGGGATTGTCTCTGGGGAAGGGGCCACTGCCAACCACCACATAACACACCCCCCCGAGGTCCATGAACAGCCAGACTTGGGTCAGAGGTTTTGATTCAGCCTGGCAGGGGCACAGGAGCTGCCTTTGCAGGAGAAATGTAAATCCCAGCTGGCACTTCACAGAGCATCATCCAGGGAAGTCCCTGCCAGCGGATTCCAAAATTTAGTAACCTGGTGAGAAATCTGCATTATCTCACAGCAAGCAGCGCTCAAACACAGAGCTCCTGGAGGAAGCAGAAGGCACAGCAAGAGCTGCCAATCTGCAAATGACCCCCTCTTGCTGCTGTTAGCAGGATCCTCAACTGCCCACTGTCTGTGGCAGATCCTGCAAAACTGAGGCTTTAAAATCCAGGTTTAAACTCTATGTGAACAATGGGCTTCCAAAATAAATACACCAGCAAGTGCTTTCCTCTCCAAAAACAAGCTGAGAAAGAGGAGTTGCTCCATGGACAGATGGAAACTCAGTGATCGTACTGAGAGGGGCCAATCACAACTCCTCACCGGGCTTCACTGACACTGAGGACAGGACCGTGGTCCTGGGACGGTACTGCTCTGAGGTGGGTCCCGGCACCACATTTGGAGGACCTTGAACAGTCAGAAGGCAAAATGCAATACCGCTTATCCGAGAGATCGGGCACTAAATCACACCGTGGTCCCGTGGCACCTGGGCACTGCATTACTGCACAGCCTTTCTTTCACCGGGGGGAGATGTGTGCCACCACTCCCCGTCCTTCACCCCAGGGACAAACGCCACCTCCTGCACCAACCCCAGGAGATGCACGGAACACCCCAGAGCCTGGCGGATTGGCAATGACACCAGGGTGATGCAGGGAAACCTGCTGATCCCTGCAGCGGATCCCTGTGAGGTGCTCCGTTACCCCTACAAATTTGAGTGACTTTTGCCCATCACGAACAGCCAGGGGATGCACCTCATCGGGGGCTCCTGCCGGGGCCCTGC